CATTTCATCTAGAAGAGAGAGAAGAGAGGTGCGGTGGGCCATCTTCCCGTGCTATTGAAATATGCTAACAGTGTCCGGTAGCTTGGTCTTTAATTGAGTGCTTTTACGAAAATTTCACCTGGAAGTGAGTTTTGGATTTGTGACCCTCGGAAATTGATTGATAGGGTTATCAGCTACAACCCGATCCCTCGCACTGTCCTGATTCGTGACTTTTTCACACCGACCTATGATCCGAATCAACCGACACCTTCTGTACACCATATCTCGGTCCTGTTCTCCGTGTTCTCAATAGGAATTCTAATGGACTTGTCGAGGCTACCTAATGCGCCAGAAGCCAAGGTCTACAGAGACATGGCCAAGATTCCACTAGACATTGAAAATGTTTCTAAGGAGACAACGGTCACCACTATTGAAGCTTTGATCATGTATGCGCAGGCGATACAGTGGTCGGACGACCCAGCTGGTCCGGCGCTCGCTTGGACATATTTGTGTTTGTGTGTTACCCTGAGTGAGAGTGTAAGTATTTTATGCAAAGCTCGGCGGATCACAACATTTGGCTTACCGTATTTCTAGATTGGTCTACGTGAGTGAAAGGCTTTGTCCGGGGGTTCGGCTAAACTCACATTAGATCGCGATCCCAAATCAACCTGGAATATGGACGAAGGAGTCACGCTAAGGAGACGCAGAGTCTTCTGGTACGTTCAAGTATAAAGCAAAGTATCGCTCACTTATCGTTTCTATAGGGAACTCATGTACATGGCGACCTGGCAATGTCTCATTCATGGGAGGCCGCCTCTTTTAACTCAGCGGCATACTGATGTTCAGTTACCGGAAGAAGAGACCACAGAATCTATGGGAACAGATCCTACTTGTAGGTTATATGGCTTGATTGTGTGCCTTTCATTTATGTGTTCTCAGTCCACCTATGGCGATACCGCTGGACCAAGGAATTAGGATGGCCTATGGCCGAAAAACTCTTATCTCCAGCTCACCCACCGACCCACGCCCTGGTAATGAGACTGGATAAGACGATTCGAGAGTTTGGATTCCCATGGAACGTTGACGCAAGGCCCGAGTCCGACGACGGTCAAAATGTCCTCTTGGACTTTGAGAACATGATGATGAGTGGGATTATCGAACTTACGTCCCTACATGTGCATCGTGGTTTCTTTGCCCATGCGTTATTCCAAAGTCCTACAGATCCTCTCCAGTCCAAGTTTAATGCATCAGTATATTCGGCGTAAGTTTGACTGTTTCAAATCCCAAATCGATCTCAAATTCTTGATAGGTTTGGTGCAGCCTGTCGCATCATTCAACGCGCTCAAGACTATTTCACCAGGAGGGCTGCTATTATGAAGCGGTCGTCGATTATGTACTCACATACATTTTCTGCTGCGGTTTGTTCTATACTCTATACCTTTCTAAACACATTAACATAGTTCACTAGATTATTGTTGGCGCGATTGCGACGCAAGCCCCACAGTGCAGCTTAGCTACCGCTGCCATCCGTGAACTTGGTGGGTTTGACCAAAAGATGCAACTCTTCGAATCTAAACGATTGCATAGATACCGCCTGCGCAATCTTCAAGTCCGGCAAAGATAACGTTCGTGTAGCCCGTATCCTAGTAAGTCGAATCCCAACCAATTAATCAGGAGGCGATTCTGAGAAACTGCAATACCAGTATATCATAACGAGCTTGCAAACGAAAGCTCGAGCCAACTTCAATCCAAAAGTGGCAGCCCTTCGAACCCCCGAACCTCCGGTTAACTTGCCTGGGATCATTGGAGCTGCTACTGTCATCAAACAGAGTAGTCGCTCTCTCGATGGTAGCTCTACTCACAGCAACTCGCCACCAGGAGATTCTCCACCCGTCACGTATGAGCCACAGCCTCTTCACATCCC